AAATATTATATTATATGAAAATATTGCGTATTATATAGAACCAAAGACACATTTTGCTGATGTACATTTGAATATTATATTTTTTACATTTCAATTGAAAAATAAACGAAGCATCAAAATTGTAGGCAGAATTTCAAGTTTGACATACATGAACGGAAATAAAATTTGCATTTGTGTTACTGTTGTGGAAGTTATGAACAAAGACTCGAACTGCGTTAATTAATTTATAATATTTCTAGAAGAATTAGTTGAGAAATAAAGCTGAAAAAGTGAAGTGGATGGATAGCTTTATGGTTCATCATTATTTTCTGTGAAAACTAGATTTTACAAGGTATTTCATGTAACAGAAACAAGTATGAAAACTTGTTAATTGTTATTAAAAAAGATAATAATTTTGGGAAGAACCAGAACTTACAGTTTTATCGTTCATTGGTAATTTTTTTGCGCAACTAATGATCATAGTAACTTTTTGTAGGAACTGAAATTGGTTCACTGGCTGTCTTTTGTATATAAATATTATTGAGGAGGAAAAATTTTGCTGCTTTGCTTCTGCTACTTTTCTTATTCCATTTTTGTTTTACTGCTGAGAAGATTTGTTGTGTATTCAGTACTAATGATTGAAAATATTTCATTCATCCACGTCTTATTTTCACTTTACAGATCACAAAGCTTGTATAATAAAATTAATAAATCTGAATAATTTCCTTAAATAGATGTTTAACGTTTAACGTAGTTTCTGTCAATTATTCACACCTTATATGTTGTTAGGAAAGAACGAAGCATAATAATTCGATCGTACTAAACTATAATTAACATTTGCTTTCACTTCATAGCTAATAAAATAAACAATGAAAGACAAAACTGTCATTGTAGTTCCAGTAAAATAATATGCACCAGACATAGTGCATTTCAGATACAGACAAAATCAAAAGTACGAATTACCTTCATGAAATTACTAGTAGTTTTCCTTGCCATTATAGAAAAGATTATTGGCGAATCTAAATCAGAAATAATTACTACTGCAACTTCTCCTCTGCACTTATCTATTTCAACCAGCAGTATTGCATCTGCAGTACCAGTAGAAATCACTCCTATACCTGCTGATGATTTCAGCCCAAGACTTGATGGTTTGCTTCAGTAAATTCCAGCACACATTCAGTTTTGAAGTATTACACAGAATAAATAATTGTACTGACAAACTAGCATTTCCATCAGTTACAATATCAATTTTATAATTATTTTCAACAAATGTTTGCATCGCAAATTATTTTGACTAACAACTCTTTCAAATGTCATTACTTTTCATGCATAATAATTAAACTTTATTCTGCTAAATGCATTTCAGTTAGAAACAAAAACAATTAAGTTTATCTGGAAAAGCTATTTTTCTTAAAGAAATTTATAATTTTTTTGCTAGCATGGAAGCATCTGCATATTTTTGGCTTTGTTTTTAATATTCTTCTTATATCTTAACAATTCAATATCTTATCCTGCTTTATATTTACAATTTACTAAATATATATCTTCCGTTATTATTTTGTTATAGAATTCCGGCGTATTGATGCAAATGGAGATCAGTACATCACATTTGCAGAAATGATTTTAGCTGATAGGCCATATATTGAAAGCAAATCAAGAATTTATCATAAGCAAGATCTGAATGGTATTATTTTATCAATTATAAGTTATAAAGACTACTTGAGTGACAGAATAAAATCAGCCCATGCTGTACTTCTACCTGGTACTGTACTGTTTCAAGAGATAAAGGAGTTTGGGTTACACAGGCCGGATGGCTCAACTCAGGGATTATTAAAGGAGTATAAAGCCGGCTTGAAATTTCGCTAGTACAATTTCATTGTAAACATTTTTAGCTTTTCGCTAATTTTTCAAGAAAACAAAAATTCTGCTCAGTGCTATCTCTCATACGTATGGTACTGCAGTTTAGAATAGCTAATTTCTGTAATTATGTTTCATGTGATGGTATTGTGAGTAAAGATGAATTTATTGCTTATCATCGCAAAATACAAGAAGAGCGTCGATCGAAAGAGCAACAGGCAGAAAATTTTTTCAAGCAATTGGTTTGTGGTCATTCTAGAAATTTTTAATTGCAAGAAAATAAGTATAATAATGAAATTTAAGACATATAACTTGCGCATAATTTGAAAATTTAGTCTTACATTGAAAGACTGTCATTTTATTAAATTTTTTGCTCAATTAATTTCAGCAATTTGGATTTGGATTTCCTCAAAATTCATTGTTTTCTTCAAATGGTCGATTGCTTCAAGGTGTGATATAAATTACAAATCTGTTTTTTGTTGTAATCATCTGAATCAACGATACTATTTGGTGAAGTATTTTTTAGTATATTGCGTATACTAAAAAATATTTGATGCATACTGCGTTATGATCAATCAGGCCATAATTTAATTTTTTTCATTACTTTCCTGGTTTGTATCAAGTATATTAGTTTACAGGTGGTTTGAACTAAATTCTTGTTGATTACTCTTTTGAATGGCGATTTCTGCTGTCCCGTAAGTCCCATTTGAATAAATGTATATCTCTTTGCTTTTTGATCAAAGTTTTTTTTGTTCATCGAGCGTATTCATTGCACTTATTATCAACTATTGCAGATACGTTGACGAATGATCTTATTCCAAATAAGCAGCTGAGTGATTTTATTCATTGTCCATTGTTTTTATATCTGTTTTGTGTGCTAACAATAAATTTTGCAATTCAGTTTCAAAAACTGTTGATATGTTCACTGCACAAAAATTTCTAAAGACAGAATTGTTAAAAAGTCTCATATGATGTCAAATTGATCACAGTGATTCGTGTAAACAGCAAAATTTTCATCAATATAATGCTGGTTTTTTGTTTTAATAATAATAATAATAATAATAATTACAATAATAGTAATATTAATAACAGAAGTTTCCAAGTGATGTCAATGGTATTATCATGGATGCAATTTAAATTATTTTATTTCTGGTAATAATTTATTTCGAACATGAAATAACTTTAGTGCTTGCGCTTATCTGCTAATAAGTAAATTATCACATTATCAAGAGAAAAGTTTGATGTAAAGGAAAGCATGCAGAAAAAATAAATATAATTTCACTCTTAATAACAAAGTAATAGATAGCCCTTTGAAAGATATGATGTTTTTTATTGTTGTGCTTATTAAAATAATCATGCAAAAATAATCAGCTATACATGTTAAGTACATTTAGACAAGGTGAACTGCTTTATTTATATCAGTTCATGAAATTGACATAGAAGCTTAAACAATACTTGCAATAATTGCGCAGAAAAATATCTAAGAATATACTTTTGCTCAATGCTGCTACTTCGTTGAAATCCCAGGGGAACAAAGATGTGCTGGTTTTGGTGCCTTACACCGTGTTCTATTTGCTAGCAAAGCTAGTCTCACATTTATTACCAAGATAGCTACATATTTTTCAACTTTTTTCGCATCGTTAAAACTTGATTTTCTACATCCTTCGCGACAAATTGTTTTTCAAAGATAACTCAATTTTTACTGGAAAAAAGCAACAAAGTAATCAAATCGCAAGTTATTCATTAGTGTTAAAGCATTTAATTTGACGTAACGAATTATTTATGCATACTCAAATATGACATATATAATTTTTTTGTACTTACAAATGTGTAAATTATTTGCATGTTTTGTGCTAGATTTGAAGAAATTCAAATTATTGACCAAAGAATGCTTGCCTATAAAAACTAAGCTTCAGAATTTGGCTCATCTAAAACATGCTTTTAGAAAAGCTCATTTGACCATTCATCATATCAACATCATAGCCAAGACATTGGATAGTAATTTCGTAGTCATGCAAAAATTGGTGAAAATTTATTCGTTCACATCAATATGGAATCATTAATTAATTTTCAGCTTTTTATTTCCGATTTTCACTGTTCATGTTAAAATAGTAATTTTTCATGCCTGATTTTTATAAATAAATTATAGGCGTCACAAAGAAATGATTATTCTTTTGCAATAAAGTAGTTATTACTTTGGTTCCATGCAGTTGTCAATTATTCACGAAATAAGACTGTAGTAATTTTTGCAATAATTGCTACGGTTTTATTTTATGACTAATTTATTATACAAATTTATTTATGATGCTTACTAAATCTATAAAAGCAGTAAGTTCATAATTTAGCAAAAACAGTAAGTTTTTGCTTATGTGATCAACAATTATTTAAAAATTTATCATTTTAAGCTAGTTATAATTGATTTCTTTATCAATAACTTTCAATTGGACCTTAATTGCTAATATTTTTGATAAAAATTTATTTATTTATGAAATACATACCGTTCGGAATAAGTAACAATTCAACAAAACTCAAACAATTTTTTTATAAAATTAAAGCTGAAAATTTTTGCATATTGACAGCATCGTACAGCACTAAAATTAATATTTTAAAAGTTTTATCAAATAGAAATTTGAAGCAAATATTTAAATAGACACTTCAACTTATTATTTTTGGAGGGCATCTTTCTTGAAAAGATAAAATATGCGTACTTTCATTGCATGCTTTTACGCACACTTATTTTATTTGATGAAAAAAATGCGATATTTTTTAGCTCAATCAAACCTTGCATAAAGTGAGACCCAGAATCTTAGAAGTGTATTTTTCAGCTAATCATTTTCATGCTATTATCTATGCCATTCATTCCCTCTTAACTGGATCTAAATTTATTTATGATTTAAAATTTTTTGTTTGATATATATTGCTACGAATTTCGATAACATTTTCCACTTTTTTTAAATCAAAATTGCGTCAATAATTTATTCGTAATTATTTTTTCTTTGCTCCATTATGCATTTAACATTTTCGATGCAACTTTTAATTCATGCTTATCAAATGCATTTGAATTGAGTAAAAAATATCAAATTTTTTAATTCAGACAAAAAATGCATGATAAAATTATATATTTGAATCAAGAAATACGATATTTGAAAATATCAGTTAACATTAGTGCGTTTATTTATTAGAAAAAAGTAGCGAGAGAGAAAACTTGCAGTTCAGTCTATTCTGTTCAGTTTATTTTCTTAACAAAACCGGAAAAGCAGCAAAGTGAGATACTTCCGATGCTTTGATGAGATTCAGATGGCTTATGCCTCTTTTGTGCTTGTCTCTAAAATTTTTCGATATGTTTTAATTTTGATTTAGCATTTCAGTAAGCAAAATTTCTTCTATTCAAACTTTTTGCATTTCTATTCTATTGTTGAGATACTTCTGAAGATTCAAATTTCTTTAACTACACTTTCATTTTTCTTCTATTCTCTTCCAGTTGCTAAGTTAGTAATATTGTTTTCCTCGCAATCTTCTTCAGACATTTTGTTCTTTTCTTGCAGTATTAGTGGGTTTGTTTACTGACCTAAACATGCATATGTGATACATTCTTTAGAACTTTAATGTGAGTTGTATACTGCATTTGCAAATTGGTAGATAAATAAAGCAAAGTTGATGTTAATGATAAAAAACTTTTTCTTGCATGTTCAGATAAGTTTTTAGAATAGGAATCAGCTAAAAAATATTTACTATTTCAAGCATCTTTCTACTTGATAGACTGATTTTTAAAATTTGATAATTCTGTGATAAGTGCAGTAATATTCTTTGACATTATTCAAAATTATGAAAAAATATTTAGTAAATTATAAATTGTTTATTAGATCAAATACTAAAATATACCTGATGTTTGTGATTTTGAAAGTGAGTAAGCATTCTAAAACTTCAATATAATTAAAATCAACTTTGCTTCATTTATCCATCAACTTGCAAATCAAATATACAACTCACAAAGTCATGAATTTAAGTTTGTAATTAATTATACAACTTAATGAGATTAAGTAAGATGGTAATCTTACATTGGAAAAATGTGCTTAAAAGCAAGCCGCGGAATACACCGCAACAAAACTTCCACCAACTTAACAACATATACATGGCATCATCAATGTTTTTCCTCTTGCATTTCTAAGGTTTGCTTGTTAAAAGTTACAAATGACAAAGTTAGTCCAAACAAGCAACAAACTTTCACTTTCATTATGCCTAAGCTTTTCATTTTGATACGCTTGCCATATTCCTTTCTTTCAATGCTTCAGACTTCATTACTTGTCATTTTCTTGCAATCATTTCACTTTTCGCTTTTATTTTAGCAAAATTTGCTTGAAAATTATCAAAGTTGTTAGCTTTATTCGATTCAAAACCTTTTCGCTATTTGTAATAATCTCATTTCTTTTTGAAGGATAAAATTTTTTAGCATCTCAGACTTCAAGAAATTTTGGAAAAAGTTAAAGTTCTTGATTAACTTTTTTTTTCCTTTTTCGTAATATTATTTAAATTATGCATGATTTGATAAAGAGGAGTTATTGAGCACTTTTCATTGATGCAACAGTATAAAAAGATGGAGGGCAATTAGTTTGATCCTTATTAAATTAATCATTTATTAAACTTTTTGTTTGATCAATTCATGTAATATTAAAGTTTAGCTTTACTTTGCTTTACCTTCATATGATTTGCTAACATTATTTATAATTATCCATTTTGTATTAATCTTAATAATTAAATATGCCCTGATCAAATAAAATATATCCTGTACTACACGTACTATAAGCTTTTCCTGTAATGCTTATTTACAATATTCATATACTGTAAGTCAGTCATGAAAAGTGTACAGTATGAGCATGCAGCAAACCTGATCATATTACTACAACACATAGTTTTTAAGATTTTGTTTCAAAATATTCATATTTGCTTATATATATATAAATTTGATCAAATTTATCTCAATTTATTGGAGATTCATTTTTGAGTATTATTTTACGATTATAATCAATTTATATTCGAAAGATATTTTGGATATAAAATACATTTTTGTTGAAAATCCTTAAAAAGTGTAACAAAGTGCACAGAAGGTATTAATTTTTATGGAAGCAGGCTTATATGTGATGACATTGTATTCGAAACAAGAAAGAAATAATGAAAGGAAATTATTTATGCTTCACTAAAAAGTATATAGTTTTGTTCTGCATCAGTGATCTCACTTATTACTCACTTATAAAGGTAGAACAGTTGAGTTTTGAAAGTTCTGCATTGCTCACACAATAATATTTAAAATCCTTGCAACTTCCATGTTACCATTAACTGCATAATTTTACTACGTCTCAACAGCACTTTGCTCATTTCACCAAAATGTAAAGCTGAACTTCAATGCAATGAAATATTATTTTTTTAAATCTCATACTGAAATATAAACCTGATACTTTTCTGCAAATTCATTTCTTCCACTTCTGACGAGTTATTTCAATTCAGTCACATGTCAGTGATTTATTTTGGTGAGCAAATTTACTTTTGGTAAAAACTAACAGCAATACTAATGAAAAAGTAAAACTATGACATCATGAAGCTGAAGAAAATACAAGAAAAAAAGTTTTTTCAAAAATTTTAGAATTTTTGTTCATCACGTTTTTGTCACTAAATATAAATTGATTGATAAACAAAGTCACGCTAAAGATTTGCTGAATTATTGTTGAAATTTTATAGGAAAATTTCATTATTGAAATTCACGTTCCGTGACTAGTTTTTTCTGAATAGTTTCACTCGTTTTTGAGTGAAAGTAAGCGTCATGTTTAAAGTGAATTAGGAGAAAATCTGCTGTTTCATACTATTTCTAACTGGTACTCAATAACATGCCATTAAATTTTGGACTGATAATTTCAAGTTCAGTTTCAGTTAGCTGAGCATATTTATTTATTGCACAACTTATACATTTAAAATACAATTTTTAATATAAAAACAAAAATAAAAAAAATTGTAAAGTGTGCTTGGTAACATGAGTTCTACAATGGCTCAAGTAGCACTTGTATGTATTTAAATAAAGAAATATGCGCATTTGCTTAATATTTTACTTGGAAGCAACCTCAAAGCTTCGAGCATATTTTTAGTAAGGCTTTACTTGCTTGAAAATATTTTGCTTCGCCAAACTTTAATTTGGTTTCGATCTTTTTGAATCTCAAACTTTCTTTACTTTCATCTACTTTAGTCTTCTAGCAATGTACTTATTCACAGAGAGAAAAAAGTTCGTAACGAATTAAATGGATTCATTGATTCTTTAATATTCACTTATTCTTTTTTGATTTTATTTTTCCATCATTTTATTTCAATAATGTACAATAACTATAATGCTCAAAATTTCTTAAAAATTTTGAAATTAGATTTTAAAACAGCACGAAGCGCATTTCATTCAAAAATAATTAAAAGGATTATAATTCTGATGAAAATGAACATAGCGTATATTGTTAAATAAAATTCTTCAAGTATTTAAATAAATAAGTTTTAATTATGCATATGTACTAAATTCATTTTAATTTTTTTCATCCATATTTTATTTTACAAAAGTTTTGGTCCAAAATTTTATCTATTAATCCGCATATTTGAAATCAATCTCAAAAACAACAATGCAAGTACTTCAATTTTTTACCAAAAAACGATATTTGAATTTTTGCAGGTGCCATTGTCTCTGAAATGAAAATTGTCGAAGTTTTTGTTAATCTTGAAGTATTATACAAAGTTTTGATATATTAAGTTAATGTTTTTGCATTTTTGAAGTTTTTGTTTCAGTCATTTCATTTTTGCATTTTTCATAAAATAAGAAAGTTTGCTTTTTGGATTGAGTACAAACAAAAGTGCTATGAAAATATTTGGTAAAACGTTTGCAAAAAGAAACAAACGTTATCGAATATTGAAGGCAAAAAATTTATTTGTCTGTGGAAGACAGAAGCTGTCAAAAAAATTTATATTCAGCTTTTTACAGATCACTATCATCGCTTCTGGACAAAGACAGCCATTTTCTGAGTAGCAATAATTTTCTTCATCTTCTTTATTTGCCTTCTGTTAAATGCTACTTTTTATTTTTGATCTGAGCAAGAATATCGTTGAAACATTTTCATTCTGGAAATCTATTAAAATCTATGCATTAAAGTCAGATATGTGAATAGTTAACTGGATTTTTGAAAGTTATAATAAGTAATAATTCAAAGTAATTTTTTAAATTAGAGGAAATTATAGAAATTTTATATTTTGATATAGCACCGAAATAAACTAATAATACTAAATGAATCAGCTCTGCATGAGTACCACAGTTTACTTTTATCACTTATTTAATATAAATTCTTTTTTGAAACTCTTTTCCTTGTTGAAGCAAATTTGAAGAAAAAGATAAAATTTAAGTGTAGTTTTACCCTATTAAAGGAAATAACTGTTTTTTTCACGGCAGTTTTTTTGTGATTTTCAGTCAAAGGATTTATCCAACGAAAAATACTACAAATTAGCAATGAATGCCAATTTTATCAGTTCATCTTCGTACATTCAATTTATAATGATAACTTTTGTACTTGCATTTGGTATGTTTAGCTTTCAGATAATTCTTTAACAACAATATCCAAATTTTCAATAATGACATAATTTGAGAATGATAGAAAATTTTCAATTAATATGCGTTTCTATAGAATTGAAGCAAAATATTCAAAAATAACTGATATTTTTTGATACTTTTTATTTAAGAATTTGTTCATCAAAATTTGGTAGTCACTGACAACAGCAGAACACCAAGTACTTTACTACTCAAATATATTTTCATGGGAAAAATTTGAAGGAAGGAAGCTGCCTGTTGATTTATATAGTGTTCAATGCATTTCACTGTAAGCAACCAGCATAAATATTTACTAATTTTTAGATGAATAAAATTTAGGCCCTCCGAAATTGGAATCAGAAACTGGTGGAGAAGTATGGTTCCAAGTAGATTCTAGTGGAGTTTCTCCTGACGGATTTACTCTTCAGTGCAACGCTATGAGCAATCCTGAGACGTAAGTTCATAATTTTATTTAGTACACAAAGAATTTAGATTAATTTAAAAAATTGTTAATTTCTTAGTATGAAAGATAAAATTCGTATTCTTTAAGTTGTAAAAAGTGAATAACTTTTTCAAATTCTATATTTTAAGGCCTTAATTTAATATAAGAAGCAGAAGATTTGAAACAAATCTTACATATTCATCGGAGTTGTTTAATCTTAAAACGCTTAATTTGAACTATGTTCCAAAACTTTATGTACATCACTTCTTGATTATGTCAATGAATTTTCAATTTATAATGGCAATCTTTTGTCTTCAGAAATTTTATTAACTTTATTGATTTGTTCACAAGAAATTACTGAATTTAGTGGAAATAAAAAATTTGACTTTTTATAGAAACTTTTATTCCTAATAAAATATCAAACTCGATTGCATACATTGCATTTTTACAAAGCATTATTTGATCATTCTGAAAAGATTTCAAAGCTTTCATCAGTTTAACTAATTTTGTCTCTACAAGTCAGTTATAAATTTCATTAAACTTTGCTTTTTTAAAGATTTGAGTGGTTTAAAAACGGAAAAAAATTGAAAGTTGATGGAAATCGAATTACGTGGAAAAAATATTTCTACAGTGGTACAATCGTTATTACTAATGCAACTGAAGAAGATGAAGGTTATTATCAGTGTCACGCGTCTAACATTTTTGGAACCGCTGTTTCCAACAAATTCAGTGTTCGTATTGGAGGTGACCTATTCAAAACTAAATCATGTTCATAAAATTTTTTGAATTTATAATCAAAACAATTTCGATTGTTTTGATGATCTGAAAATATTTGCAAAATTACTAAATTTTGAAGCACTTTGATATTTCAAAAATACTTATTTTCAGTGCTTGACCATTTTGTACCGCGTGGTATGCGTCGATTGATTGTGAATGAAGGGCAAAGTTTAAGTATTCGATGTGATGTTCCTTATGGGATACCAAAACCGACTATATTCTGGGTTTATCGTGATGCAAAGCAAACTAGCATTATTGAAACCATCCGTAAAAAGCATATTGCCATTGACAGCGAAGGTCAAATTAATTTTTAAATTGCAACGTTGCATCGCTATGTTTGCATATTTTCGAAATGAAAGTTGATGAAAATCGTCGGTAAAATTGTCAAAATTATCAAAACCTAAAAATTGCTTTTGAGTGTGCTTTATATACTTTTTAAAATCCTATTAAAATATTTAATGCTTGACTTTACTTTTATAGGTACTTTGCATTTCACAGAAGTTCAGAAAGATGATGGACGATCAAATGTAATATACCAGTGCGCTGCAACATCACCTGTAATACAGGAAGAGTATCGTGCAGGCAGTGAATTCCAACTTATTGTTAATCCAGTTGAGGGTAAACTGTATTTATTTGAAAATTATTTTTCTGCTCACTATTTCAGAATTATTCGCCTTTATAATTGGTATTTGTGTACAAAAGTTCTGAAATTCAAATAGGTAAAGATATTTTTAGGTATTAATGAAACAGCTATTCACAAGTTGTGGTTTAGTGCAGAAGAAGTATCTATCAGGGTAGAAAAAAAGCTCAAACTTATGTGCATTTTTGGTGGAAGGTTATTTCTACAAACTTTTGTTTCACTAGAGATAGTTAATGTATTACACATTTTTGGACAAAAATCATTAAAAATGTTCTTGCGATGTAAATTATTAATTAAAAATAAATCATTGTGAAACAGTGCAAACTTAACTTAAGGCCTTTGCCAAATATTTCTTGGAGTAAATTAAATGGAAAATTGCCGATAACTCGTATGAAAAGTTTGCAATCAGAAGAATCTGATTATGGTAAATCTCTTGTCATAGAGCATATTCGTTTGGAAGATGCTGGAATTTATGAATGTCGAGCTGAACATTTGTTTCATCAGATGCATGTCACCATTATCGGTAATTATTGGTAATATCTGAATATTCATGAGATAATATCTGAAACAACAGAAACACGTCACTGCATGAACTTTGAAGTTTTAAAGCAAGAAAAATCATATTAATCAGGAAATAACCATTTCATTAAGTCATTTTCTTTCCAATAATGGAAATACTGCCGTAATGTTTTGTATAGGTTCAAAATTAATTCACTTCAGCAGCTCCATTTTGGGTTGATGAGCCACCGAAAGATGTTGATCAATCAGAGGAAAGTTCTGCAGAAATTCATTGTATTACATCAGGTGTTCCAACACCAATCGTTCAGTGGTTCATAAATGGAATACCACTGCATGGTTTGATTTAAATTTGTTTGTATAGATGTTCTAGTAAGTGATTTCAGAAACCGTAATGATGATTCTCTTAATTTTAGCAACTTAATAACGATCAAGTTCAATAATCAGTAGTGAAAAAATATCTGAAATCCTTTTTCTTATATTTTTACCATTTTTATCAACATTAATTATTGACTTTAACTAGCTATAATTTTAAAAATGCTGTACAAATCCAGTAGTATTTTTGTCTACAGATTGTTTTTTATTTCTTGTTTCGAAATTTAAATTTTCATACTCATAATAATTATAGAATCCGCAGATAGCAGTCGCAGAATGGTTTTAAATAATGGGCAAATTTTGCGGATTGTTAAACTTGATCATGATGTTGATACTGCTGTTTACCAGTGTAATGCTTCAAATACATTTGGATACTTATTTGAAAATGCTTTCGTGAGCGTGCGTGGTAATATAATTTGATTCTTTTTTTTAATCAAAAAACATGAAAAATATTTTTGTAAGTATAATTATTCGCCGTAGTCAGAGATAATTTTTTATTATTTCTGGTAGACACTATATCTATTATTCAGCATTGCAAATTGCTAAAAAAAACGGACAAGTCAACTAACAAATGAGTCGCACTTTTTTTAATATTAAAGAACTGCAAAGTTTTAAATTTAATGACAGGTAAAATAGCAATTTGGAGTTAATTCTGAACAATTGTAGCTTATGCTCCACGTTTCAAAATGCCTACACATCGCATATGGAATGTAGTACGTAAATCAACCGTAGAGATGTCTTGTGAGGTTGATGCTGCACCGGAAGCAATAGTCAGATGGGTGGATGCAAGTGATCATCCTATTGCTTTGGTTCTTGGAAAGATCCATGTTTGTTATTTTAATGTCAAGCGTTAAGAAAGATAAATCATTAAAATCCAGCTCCAAATTTTACTTCATGAATTAGAAATAAAAATTTTAGCAATTTTCTTTCAGAAGTACTTGTTTCATTGGTGATAATCTTAAAATTAGTTTCAAAAATTTTTTTATAGTTTATCTAAAATTAAAACTTGTCATTGGTCAGCATTATCCATTAACTTGCCACAGGATTTTATTTATACTTCTAAATCACTATTCACTCTGAATTTGTTCCTTACCACCGTAATATTTATTTTTAGATTACTCCAAATCATACACTGCGCATATTACAAGTGAATTCAGCTGATGAAGGTCTCTATTACTGTAATGTGTCAAACAAATATGGAATCAACCGGGCTGTAAATAGACTTCAAGTTTTTAGTAATGCTATTATCTATGAATTGAATCTTGCTTTGATTCAATAAGATTTCAATTTTAAATCATTGATATTTCATGAAATGAGTAACATATCATTGTTTCCCAATTTATTCTACAACATCACTTATATGTTCATTGCAACTAGGTCCGACACACTTTGTTCGAGTTCCAAGTCCGAAAAAATCCATTGTGGAAGCGCATGAATCACTAGAATATTTTTGTGAAGCAATTTCTGATCCTCGTCTTTCAGTGGAATATACCTGGACCCATAATGGAGAACCAGTCAATGATTCTAGCAAGTTCAAGTATACTTTGTTTTGGGAATAACATTACAATTGAAAGTAACTTATCTTCGTATTTCTTCCTAGTTCTCATAAATGCTTCATACATTCTTTCTCTTTTGATAATTATTTTCACAGTTTTAATTTTAAACAAAAAAATTTTAGATTGCTAAACAACTCATTAGTGATCGATAATGCTCGTGGTTTCCATTCAGGAACGATTGATTGCGTAGCTCTCACTGATGTTGATGTGAAAATTTCTGGAACTAAGTTAATCGTCTTGGGTAATTAAGTTTATTATTAAAATTTTTTCCATTTTAGTATAAACAAAATTGTATGCTCATATATTTTTACTTTCATCTAAAAAAATAATTTCCAATTTCAAAAAATAACAATGTAAAAATTATCTTTCAAAAAACTTGACGCTTATAATATTTAGATGTGCCTGATGCGCCACTGTTGACTGATATTGATTGTAGTGATCAACGTGCGATGTTAAGATGGCGTCGACCAAATGATCACGGAGATCAAATCAAGTACTTTCTAGTACAAATGCAAACTGGATTTGAGCCAGTCAGCTTTTTTTCTCAGCAACAGTGCTTATTTGAAAATTCTATTTTTGAAGATTAGTGAGTTTTTTTTTTCAAAGTTTTTAATTCCAGGAATTATGGCGAACTGTTATGAAGGAAGAAAATACTGCTGGGGATTTTTACCAAGCTAATGTGGCACTTTCACCTTGGGTAAAGACTTTATTATCTATCTAAAGCAATCAAAAAATTCAAATCAGGAAATCAATACTTATTATATAAGTCAAATTAATTTTCAAAGCATTTTGATGATGCTTTAAATCTTTATTATGTTGTGCAAAATTTTTAGCAACAGATTCATGCTATCATTGCATTCAGATAACGATTATTTAAGGTAAATTATACATTTCGTGTGATAGCTTGGAATTCACATGGCAAGAGTCAACCGGGCATCAAAAAAGATACTGTTTGTAGTACAAAAGCTTCTTATCCACACTCAAATCCAAAACATGTACGAGCTGAAGGCAACAAGCCAAACAATATGATTATTGAATGGGAAGCAATGGATAAGTACGACTGGAATGGTCCAGGGTTGCAATATATTGTTCGATATAAACTCAACGAACCGGGTAGTACGTGGACAGAAATTCGAATTGAAGACCCTATAGCAGTTAGTTTTTATTTTTAATCAGCGCATGCTAGGTTATTTTTATTATTTGAAATTTTCAGAATCAAACTATAATTCGAGAACAACCAACATTTCGTGAATATCTTATTCAAGTTGAAGCTGTGAATAGTTTTGGGCATGCAGTCGTAGAGCCAACAACTGTGAAAGGATATTCAGGAGAAGATGGTACGTGTAGTACATAAATAAAGAATCAAAAAAGTCCCAAGTATTTTTAACTCACAAAATGATACCACAAATATGATATTGCAGTTCCATTACTCTCACCAGCCGATTTTAGTGTTTATGATTTTCTGAACTGTACCACAGTTGTTTTGAAATGGGAACTTGTAAATCAAACATCTGTACGTGGTCATTTCAAAGGCTATTTGGTAAGCATGAAAAATTAATTTTTTCAATTCTTATAAATTATGAAATGAATGAAAAGAAGTTGAGATTTAAAAAAGTTTTTTTACAGCTACTTTGATTATTTACATTATTGTTTGTAGGTAAGCTACTGGGAAAATGGAAAAGCATACGCTATACAAAATATTAAAGTAGAAAAAGATAAAGATGAATTGATTCTTTATGGTTTAAAACCAGTAACAAATTATACAGCTCATATTCGAACAGCAAATCGCCGATATTTGAGTGAATTTGCGTCAACAGTTCAGTTTACTACTCCTGAAGGACGTAAGAAATACAAAAATGTTAAAGACTTATATTATAAAGCTTGTTTAGTCTACAAAAAATTCAATTATTACAGTTCCATCCAAAGTACATAATATGAGAGTGAGAGCAGTTGGTGCGAAAAGTTTATTTGTAACATGGGAACCACCAAGACAACCAAATGGATATATTCGCGGATATTTCATTACATTTGAAAGTATTTTATTTCCTTTATATTACTTTAATTTAAGATTTCATTTTACTCAACACGAAAATTATCATTAGAATGTCATACCCGCAAAAGATTAAATTTGCATGACTTACTATACAGGAAAATTGTCTAACTCACTCTGTAAATCTATGCATCAATTTGGCAACAATTTTTCTTAAAATTTATCGGGTAGGATCATGATACAAATTTACTGAAGTTATGTTTAAATAGAATTTAATTAAAGATTCTTCGACTGGAGAAATAGATGAAACGTATGTTCTAAATCGTCAACTTTATTATTTAAATGAAGAAAGTGAACCAAATACTGGATATAAAGTTTCTGTCTGGGCAGAAACGAAAGGCGGTGAAGGGCCAAAAGTTGTACGACCCGTACGAACATGGCCTCTTCGAGGTATCTAATTTTGTCTTTTAATTCATGTTCAAAACTATTCAGCATTTCGTGAGGAAAAAAAGCAAACAAGTTGAGCAAATTTCGATTAGCGTACTTAAAGTAATAAATTTGGCATAAATTGAAGACTACTTTTCCCAATAATCACTACTTATCGAATTCTCTAGCGTTTATTGTTGATAAGATATAACGAGATTCATCTCAAATTTATGTCTTGTGCAAAGCAAGTCTTAAACTGAAATAAATTATAAACACAAATCAATCGTTATAGAGGACGAGAAAAATAAGTTTTGACAAATCTGTCTATTTTAATACACTGAACAAAGTGCTGTAAAAAATCACAATTAAATACCTCTATAATAAATAAATAAAGCCAATAATAGAAGCATTACTCATAATCAAAAACTTGGAAAACTTAATTATCTCCGCTGAATCTGCAGAACCAGATGTACCATATTTCACTATTGAATTGATTTCTCCAACCACAGCTCGTATTCGCTGGTTGCCTTCGAATGGTTCAGAATGGGCAATGCCAGGAACTACTTTTTTTGTTAATTATTCCATTATTAGTAAGATTTTTTAGTATTTTTTTTTTAAAAAAAGGAGAAAAAGAACAGTTCATGACTAATTTTTTTAATTCTCTGTAATGGGATAGGTCATAAATGTCATTAATTATATGTTGTAACTAAATGAACTTGAGGTAGTAATGATTGGATCGAAAGTGAGCACATAAGCTTACCTCGAACAGAAATAATGTTAAGAAATCTGGAGGAAGATACTATGTACATAGTGACCGGTATTGCTAAAGAAGGTCAAAGACAACGAGCATCGGAAATGATGACGATGCGAAGTTTAAGTAGAGCAACTATAACTCATATATCTCATGGTATGATCATTTCATTTTTGATCTGTTTCATTTTTGAAAAGACTTTAAACGAGTTTCTTTTTTTTCTATAAGTACGTCTAATACCATCAGATCTAGAGTAATTTTCAATTACTCTGACTTTGTTCTCTTAAAGTTGAAATTACTTTAGATCTGATGGTATTAGACGTACTTATAGAAAATTGAAATTTGCACTGAATATTTACAATGAAATACAGAATAAATAGATTATTCATACAGTGCATTTTTAAAAATAATATAATTCACTAATATGATTTCGTGGAAGATTTGTTTTTAGTATGCCAATAACAACAAAAACTTGAGGAACTTTTGAAGTAGTATGAGAGTAGTTAGTTATATGAACTAATATACACTTTCAGTAGTTAACTTTGATATGCGTGAACTCTGAAAATTTTACGCATACACTTACTGAAAACTTATGAACAAGCATTTTATGATGAATTAATTCATATGCGTTAATTATTGATGTTTATAGAAAGTTTGCAAAGTGCAGCGTGGTTCATCGCAGTCTTATGCGCAGTTATGCTAGCATTATTTACGGCTGCGATCATGTGTTTTTGTCATAGATCACGAGATAATAAATATGAAGCTAAACAGAAAGAATTAGAACAAACTCACAACACTGCCATAGAAGGGCATCAGTAAGTACCTTAAAAATTGAAAATGAATTTGTAAATGCATCCAAAGAATGCATTCCATCTCAGTGAACAATTAAAATGGTTAATGTAGGCACGTTTCAGACACACTCAAGTTCTAGCATTTCAATGATTTAAATTCTTATCATTGAAACTTTTGTTAAGTTTGCATCTTTGTATCAGTTATTAGCAAACTTTTATTAGTCATTACTTACTTTTGTGTTTAGGAATTTCATGGGATATCATTATGGATTCAAATGATCTACTTTTATTATAAAATTTACTGATGACGTATTCTTCAAAATCACATTGTTTCACGTGGTTGTTGCGTAATTCACTTACTGTTTATTTTACTCCCATTTAGTTATTTAATGTATTTGTGCCTATTTAAATCTTCTATGAGCATAGAAACCCGCTGTGTTGTTTATGTTTATGATAGAGTTCAACGGAATACATTTTCCTTAAAAAATAAAAGTGTTGCTTAATTAGTATAAACTTTTATGCCACTTTCCTTGAAATAAAAGCTTCAACTGTTAATCTTTTCATATAATGAGAGACAATTTAATGCAAATAAATGAGATTTATCCTTTGTAAACACAACTTAATTATTGATGCAATGAAGTGTTTGAGCAAAAGATTTTTTGTGCAGTAACAATGCGGCATCACAAGAGCATGCAAGTTTTAATTTACAATTATAAGCCCAATAAGGATATATCTGTATGATTTTGGTTTTTGGAGTAGACAACAGTTCCATACAAATATTGGACTTCTCAATTTCTGAATTGCGGAATAATATTTCCATATTTTTCTTCAATTCAGTTAAACAAGCATGTATAGTGTATCAAATACAATACGTGCTTCATTGCACACTATCATAAATTCCATCCACAATATCATCACTGTGACACAGAAAATTCTCTAAGCATTCAGTAATTGAGAGTATGACACAAGAAGTTGATCTATGCTTAGTTGCGCTGAAATAGCTTATTGCCATAAATGGCATCCAACAACTTTTTTGACTTGTATGACTGTATATCACAATTCAATAATCAAAAAATAATCGATGATGCTTAAATCTACCAAAAAAAGTCACAAATTAATTTCTATCATATTGCATTGCTTATATATTATTAGCGAATTTTCGCCTCACATATTACATGCAAAAACTGTTTTGAGAATTTCAAATATTGTCATAAAGAGTCAGATTTATGAATAAAGCTTAAATTATAATGATAAACTAAACATTTGGTGATAAGGCAATCAACAAACACTTCTTCATTGAAGTATGTTTACAGCACGCATATAATAAAAACAAAACTTTTTTAAATAAACATCTACTTTTTACTTTTTGCTAAAAACTCATCATTAAGCCATAAACAGACTTGTTTAGGAATAATTTTTTCTTTTTAAAAAAATAATTTCATTATAATACTCGCAAACTATTTTCTTACAATAAAAAAGAGTTTGAAAATTTTATGAATAGTAATTAATAAGCACAAACAAATGTTTTTCAAAACATTAGCTAAGCAGTATGAGAAATAATTTAATACAAGTATGCAATTTTTTTTTGCCTTTCAAATATAATGCAATTTTCAAAATCATTCAAACTGATAATTTTTACTTCTCGATTATTCCACTCTTTCATCAATTTGATGTTAGCACGAACTAAAACTCAAATTCTCATTCATAATTTAGTGGCTGCAGCTAAAGAGTTCAATATTTGAGACCTCCTATAAATTAGTTTCTCATTAAATTTCATCTTATTTACAAAACTATATCTTGCTTTCTCTTTACAAGCAAAGTTAACTTTTAGACTTTACTGTCTTATTACATTACAAAAATTAAATCGATTATTGACTTAAAAAATTACTCAAAAATTTGTATTTTCGATTTAATTTAATGGTTTTATTACAAGAAATAATTGTGTGCTTCATGCATAATAATTTAAATAATATTAACTGTATTGAATTTTTAATAAGTATAGTACTTTAGCGTACTACGATGTGTGTGCCATTTGACAACGAATCCAAAATCGTTTCTTGATTATTTGATTTTAAAATTTGTAAAACATCTCTTCAATGACAAACAATTAAGTTTTATTATGATGAGGTAGCAAATGAAGCATAATCGCCATAAGCATTTCGATTAAACTAACTTATTATTGAAACACTGAAAATCTTTAGCGTTCTGATATTGTTTATTCGATTATGCTGTCAACTAAACATAGCAGATCACACCAACAAAACTTCGTGTTATTCTTATCAATAGTAAAGGTGTAACTAAAGTAAATGTTCATATTTTGATGTCGATTAGTAAGAAATATTCTACACATTAAAAAATTGGCAGATTTCAAATTGCAGAGCAAAAGATAGATACCTCTTTAAAGAAACAGTTTTAATGTTAAATAGAGACAAAAAAACTCTTTGGTGTGATTTGCTCTTTCATAAAATACATTTCATTTCATGTTCATTCCATTGCACAATTATTTTTGGTAAAAAGTATCTTTTGTAAACAAAGCAGATCACATCAACAAAATTCGTACACAATAAAAGTGATGTAATAACATGAATTCTAAATTTTATTGAAAATATACAAAGCGAGAAATATTTTGATTCTTGACATTAATAATTTATGAAGATTAATAACTTAGTGCATTCCCTTTTAAAGTAGAGCTCTCATTCTGACTTCTGCAAATGCAGTTGTGAAGCAGAGGCATTTCCAGATAGAAAGCTAGTCCAAGAAACGAATTGACATCAGTCGTTCCACATTTACACTATCCATTGCCTTAATGTTGCCAAAATAATTTTTAATCTTTTGTAATGAACTAAAAACAATAATTTTGTTTTTAAAATCTAAAAAAAATCCAAACTAATCAGATTTTCATTGCAATAAAATGAAAATTTGGAAAAATAATATTTTTTTTCTTGCAAATAAGTGATAAGTTTGTAAAGATTTGCTTACTCGGGCAAATTCTTGAAATGAAATTTTGCCATTCTTTTCGTAGTCTCCTTCCTTGATCGTTCGATCCGTTATCATCTCAAGCTATAAACTTAAAAGTTTTTCCACTTAAAATGTGCTTTTAAATATGAAACTTTTTTGTCTAATATTTAAACTTAAGATTGCTTTCTGCTCTTATGCTAAAATATGAAGTTTCATTTGTTAAATAATTTCGATGCAATGTTATAAAATCAAGTTTTGGCATTTCGATTTGATATGGTAGAAATTCAAAATCAAGGTTTAAAGTAACCTGTTCAGATGTTATATTTGAACCAATCATCATATTTAAAATTATTTTGAATTCATTTCGTGTAATATATCCATTTTTGTTCAAGTCATACATGGCAAAGGCAACTAAAATTTACTTACAATTAATATGTCAATGCATGCATGTGAAAATTTCCTAAATTTAAAATTAAAAAAAAAGTAAAACAAACATTTTAATTTTTCTGTACGGCCATTAATGGCATCACTGTTGTTATCTCCAGTGCATGGTCTAAAGTGTGCTAAAACTTGAATAAATTCACGGAATGTTAGCTGTTTTTCAGCTTCGCTCCTGAAGTTAATTGCTATTAAAATTTCATATTTCTTGGATAAAATTTGTCGTTGTTCTGAAAAATTTGGCAGTTTCGACAAAATTTCTATTAACTGAACAAAATCTCAATGAACTTCTATTTCATGCTAGCTGCGACCAAAGGATCGATTGTTGGAAAGAAAGAAAATATCGCTACGGGAAGGATTGAAAATAGCACACTGCATTTTAATTTTTTAAAGCTACACCATTTCTGTAGTTAACTTTGAATTACTTGCACAATAATAAATCTCAGTGATGGAATGCTCATAATGTAAATCTAGAATTTTAATTGAACTAAACCCTGTATGAATGTAGCAAAAAACATGCTGTGGAATAACGAAACCAGTGAATTGGCTCTATTATTTTTAACTAAAACTAATTTTAGAATTTTTGAGACTTACTTTTCTGCAAAGAATGCATCAATAATTCTGTCACCTAGGGGATTTGCTGTGAGCTCTGGGATCGTAAAAAAATCATCGCGATCAACGTACCCTCGTCCTAAAATTTAAATATTCTACTTTTTGTTCACAAATTTTGCAACCTTTCTGGAAAAATTATTTTCGACTATTAAGAAAACATTTGTTTTTGACGTAAGCAGTAAAAACTCTGAGATAAAAGCCATGACCCATCAAACACTCCTTTTTTTTCAAAGAATTCAAAGCAATTCTCGTAAGCATTTTGGCGTTCTTATTTAATCAAACAATAGCTTGAAATTATTCCAAATTCAGTTTACATTATCAGAAAAAAATTGCTAGATCATTATTTGGTAGTTCGCCATATAGTTTGCTTGGCTAAAAAAAGTTAGAAAAGTTTAAAATGTCGACAAAATAGAATATCTTTATTTAATAAAAGAATTTGTAATAATCGTAGAATTTTTTTAATAGATTGCAAAATTTTTTGAAAGATTTACAAATAAATTGCAATTGAAATTTCGGACATTAATTTCTAATAAAACTTTAATGAATTAGCTTAACAATCATAAAAAAAGAATACCCTCTTTGTCGATAGACAAAAATCTTGTATGCAGTCGTAGTATTTGGCGTCGTGTAACTGTATTGAACAAATAAAAATACTAAATTCTAACATGTCAGCAAACAACAATACAATTAACTTGAGGAAATGATAAATTAATCAACGAAGAATGAATTTATTCTGTTCAACATTTAAGGCTTGTTCAGTAGGCAAAGGCATCATTTAACAACTACCAGTTGATGCATTAATTTTTCCTACGCTTTTTTTGCATTTCCATAAATGACAGAAATGTATAATATGACTTTCTTTGCGTATGAAATGATATCTATTGAATTGTTTGAAATGGAAAAAAGAATAAAGTTCTTTTTTTTCCTCAAATATGCAAATTATTGAAACTCAGTTTTCTTCCGCACTCTATTTAAAAGCAAAAAATAGACTAAAATAATACACAGTATGTCATTTTTGACTTCAGCTAATTAGAGAGGAAAGAAATGCAAACACAGAATTGCTACAAATACCAACAGCCTGTCTCTTCTTGAATCGCTGTGATTTCTTTTTCAGGTAGAATTTGCATTAACGAGCGGCAGTTACCCATTGAAGACAAGAATAATTTCCCTTAAAAGTTGATTTTTAACAGTTTTAACGCCTGTAGTAAGCATGAACAATAATCACTTATTTTCTTTTACTCTCACCAGCAATGCTTAATCAAAGCAGCTCATTTAATCACACAGATAGAATTTGCTGAATTATATCAAAAATTGAATGCAATCATAAATAAAGAGTTTGTCAGAAATTCAAGCAAAATATGACAGATTACTGATTACATCTCATGTGATTATACTGAAGTTAAAATCAGAGAAGTTTCACAAACTTTCACACGTGATGAATCTGAAGAATGCAAAATAGGATTGCTACTATTACATGAAACACATGGGGATACTAAAAAATTGACAAGGATTTTTTTTTAAACACGCTTAATCTGCTTCATTGTTCAGTAGAATTAGAGACAAGTAAAAAGTGTTGTTTCTAAAAAGCACTCACTGACATATATCACTTAAGTGACACATCAATGTAAACACGTTTTTGTTTATTTTTATTTTTTTCGCATGCATTATTCCACGCTGCAGTACAAATCTCTTCTTGTTTATATGAAAAAAGGAAATTGTTGAGGAAACAGTTCAGACTGTAGTGAATTTTATTCGAAAAAAGTGTTTGAATGAACTTTGCATGGAGTTTAAGAAAACTAAAACGTTGAAAACAAACATTCTAATTTATGCCTCAATATTTAATTTAATTCATATATGGAATTTTTTAGAACGAATGTTCAAAATTTTCCTCAAAAATATTGAAAAAAATAAAATATAAAATGCAATAAGTTCTATATGGTCCTAGATAAGTAATGACACCAGAAAAATGTGCACTAAATATCATATATTTTAAGCAATAAAAAAGTTAATTATTCACGAAAAATGAAGTGACTAAGATTAGGAAGCGACTGAAAAAAACCCTAAAACCTGAAAATATGCTCAATATTTGAGTATTTTACATTATTTTATTTTTATTTTACTTGCAGATAATTCGAAATCTTTAAATTTTATTGAAGAATTTGAAAAAAAAACATTTAGAAGTGATAATATATGATACATATGCGATTGAACTAATCAGTGCATACATTGTTAAGATAAATTTTGCATTAAAGCACTGTAGTTATTAATTTAGACTCACCTTTGTGCTCAAAACACAGGAAAGAAGAGCAGACAAAAAGAAATGTTACATTATTTGATTTGTAGCAACTGAACTGTTATTATTCGCTTTGGTTCTAAAAATTTCGCTTACATTTCCTTGAAGGCATCAATGTGCTAGTATTGGTACTTGGCTAAGAATGAATCACGGTGGAAAATAAAAAGTAATAGTCACAAAAAGCAGGCATAGCATCACATTTCAAGATACAAAGATTTATGTCTCAATATTTAAAGAAACACTAATTTTGGAACAAAAAATGTAATATGAATAATGACATTTTACATATTATTACTGCCTTTCAGTTGTGCCATTTGTGTTCAGCAAAGCTCAACTCCAAAAAAGTTTTTAAAAAAGGCAAAAAATTATCACTGAACTTGCATCCGGAATAGTATACCACTTTTTTTTACTAAATCTTGAAATATCCTTTTTAAAAAGCATTTTGCAATAAAAGCTCAAACAGCAATCATTCTGAACTGTTCCAATAAACAAATATTTAAAAAACTACAGGATTAATATCTAAAAAAAATTTTATCATTTGTTGACTAGTGAACCAAAAAATTATTAGCACCTTTATTTAAGGTACTGAGGTGGACGAATTACTATCTTCAGTATAAGTTCCTTATCAGAACACTTTTTTTACATGTATTTCTGCACTGCAATTTTCTGAGGGAATGTGTGAATTCAGTAAAATGGAAAGATAAGAAACTTGCTTCGAACTTTCAAGTATACACATGATTCATTGCATAAGGAAATGAGCAGTCTCAGTCAAAAATTCAAATTCAGCAAAGAAAATTTCAATTAAAAAGTACTTTAATTCATTTCGAAAAGCTGTTATCTTGCACAAGTTTATTACATTTCATATTTGGACTTTGTTGCACTGTTATTATAAGGCAATAACTTTCTGATAATGCAATGTGAGATTTTGAAATTTTGGAAATGAATTTAATCAATGTGGTTTAATTAAATTAAAAAAATTATCAGTGACTAATAATGAAATGGTAAAAATTTTGTCTCTTTCATATGGATATTGACACTTCAAGTGGTTGTTACTTTCCAAGGATGACTTTGCAAACTCCACAATGTGAAAACATGATGTAAAATGTATAAATTTAGTGTGATTATCACTTGATTAAGGCTAAGCAAACAATTTTTTAATAAGCAACTCAAGCATGAAACTAAAATGTGATATGCAACTTTTGCAATTAAATTCCAAATTTAACAATGCAAAAATAAAAATGGGAATAGTGAATACACAATGAGCAGAAGCATCTGACGTAATCTATCTGTCTGTGCAATGATGGTAATATGCATAGTTGCTGTGCAAGAAGGGCTTATATCAATTTCAGAATACAAATATCATTGGACGATGTGTCTGTCATCAATGTAATAGCAATAATATTTTTCACAAAATCCAATCCCTTCCACAATACATTCAAAGCAATTTTAATTAGTGATAAAATACTGCAATTTTAGTTAAAACAGCATGAAAACAATCACTTTCATTCATTCGAAGTGACAAACACACTAAATTTATGTTATGCAATTTTATGGTTTAATGAAATTTACACGTACATTTACTTCCTTGTGATATTTAGTTTCAGAATTTGTAGCAGGATAATGTCTCAGCTACGCTATACTGATAAAAATCAAAACTCTTAATAAAAAATCACATTTTTTGAATACACATGTTGAAAACTTTTCTGCATTAATTTGGTCCGACACTAAAAGCCAAATCTAAAGCATGAACATGTTGCTCATTTGCTCAACCAGTAAAAATAATGTCTTATAATTACTACTGGCACCGTTCAACTGTAGTATTTAAGAGCGAATAAATATGTACAATATGTCAAAAAAGTACGGGCAGAATTGAAAAAGACAGTATTCTAAATGTACTGCTTTCACAGTTAACTAAAGTAGTAACATTTAACAGTAATTAGAAGCTTTATTCGATGTTAGCCTCACTTCCAGCAGAGTAAGAGACCATCTAGGTTGAATGTATATTTGATTATATATCACAAGGAAATTGTTAAAAAGCTTTTCTTGCTCTTCTCGAGACTTCGATTTTCATTTAGGGTTTGCAAATTTGAAATGAAATGAGTGTACTACAAGCAAACAAACTAGCTGGGGTGTTTTGTTTTTCTCTCAATCATACTAAGAGGTTTAGTGGATTGCATTGGGTGAATGTTGGCATGGTTAGCTAAATGTTGTGGCGGTGTGTTTATCTTAATTTTCTTTAAAGTTAGTCGACAAAATGCTCTCAAGATTGACAATGTTGTCGCGAGGCACAAAGCTCAACTCTTTACGTTGTTTTGCTGCTGGTGCAGAATTTCTAAAAGATGTTCCCTTGACAAAGCGAAACGGAGAAACTGTCAAAGCTCATGATTTGAAAGATAAGGTTTGTCATGTATTATTCATAGCATCTATCTACGCCAAATGCGGTAGTAGTAGATAACTCGTGTTACCACCGCTAGGTATCAGCTGTTTTCAGGAATCTGGAAATTCATTCATTGGTTTGAGTAAACTTGATCAAAATATTTTGACGAGCTAGTTCATTTGCTGCAGTTGGAGCAGTTGGCTTTAAAAGGCATGCTTGCAGTTTAATCTGAATTCGGTCTAGATTTTGTTCTTCTTAATATTATCATTTGGTATTTTGCAGGCGATTATATTATATTTTTCTGCAGGATGGTGTGGTCATTGCCGTCAGTTCACTCCAAAATTGAAAGTAAATTTCTCACATCTTGCTTAACTGTTCATGTCAGCTAATCATAGCTATATAATTTTCAGCTACTATGTAATCCTTGGAGCTTGCGAATTACATAATATCGTGCTAATTTTATGCTAAGATTTTTTCAGTGGATCTTGTATTATACGTGATTTTCTAGACGTGGTATGACACGGCTGCAAAAAAAGAAAATATTGAAATTGTGTGGATTTCTCGTGACCGTGAAGCGCAGCATCAACTTGATTATTGTAAGAAAGCGCTTCCAGACATCCCGTATATTCCATTTGGGGACAAGCATATTTCGTTAGTTTTAATCGTACGTCCGGACTGGTATTTAATAAATGCAGTTATAATCATAAAATTTATCTCATTTTTAGTGAATTTCTGAAAAAATATGATGTGAAGACAATACCCACTGCAAGGCTTGTTAACAGTAATGGTGAGGTGGTCGAAGAAAATGTGCGGAACAGAATCCAGGTATGTTATTCTTTGAACAGAAATTTTCAAGTAGTGAAATCATAATATTCTCTAGAATTTTGACATATCTGTAACTTTTCGGTCAAAAAATACATTCTGTTATGCTGAACTGATACTTCAGGACGAAGGACAAATCAATGCAGAGAAATTGGCAAGAGAATTTAGAAATTGCGTTTAATTTCACTCTTATATACCAGTAATTTTTGATTTTCGATTACTATAATAATTTGTCTTCATTATATTTACATTACCTTACAGAAACTTATTGATTTCACTATTACTGTGTTTGATATCTCTGAAGCGCTGAGTGTAATAATATATTTAATTAGTCATGTTTAATTCGAATTATTTATAACAGTTTTATTGCAAAATAAAGTTTATTAGATACAAATATGTAAGTTTGTAGAGCGACCGAGACCTCTCTATGAGATTTTAAACTTTTTGATTGCACTTCAGAAAAAATCACCGAGTATGAAAGTTTATTCCTATTTCCTCACACATTTGGAATCCGAAAGGTAATTTTCGAGTACAGTTACAGCATCTAGACGGCCCATTATTCTAACATTTTGTAGAAGATCCAGTACTGCTCGTTGAGAACCAGATTCTACAGCTTCCCATAAATCAAGAATCAGAGATGTTGGTGAAAGGCCAGGTCTAGTAGCAAAGTACTGAAATTTGCAGAAATTTGCAGTCATGTAATCATTAAGTTAATCTAACAAATTTCAACTTAAGATATATATATGAACATGTGCATTTGATTGATTAATTTTGAAATTTTTCATATTTTATATCAGAAATTAGCAAGTACTTGAGAACGCCAAAGATAGTAATTCATATCATCTAGAAAGTCAAACCTGGATATATCTGTGAAGATGTAGTTTTGTAGCAAGACCCCTCCAGTCCTTTGTTGGGTCAGTGGGAACATCGAAAAGTTCAGCCAATTTTCTCTTTGTAGCATGATCTAATAAAAAGTCTGAAGAAAGGAAGCCATCTTCCATTTCCTCATCTTCCTGCAATAAGAAATTGAGCGACAAAATTTAAGTAGTGATATCAAATTTTTGGATCAGCTAATACTAACCAATGGATGTTGCATATCGAACTTCAGTACTATACGGGCATCAGCGTTCCCTTTCTGATAAATAACAATACGACCTGTGATTGTCTCTAGCAAATCTTCCGGAACATCTGTCTTCAAACTACAGTGCAAACCATTTTGTACACACCACATATGATGACTAGAAGGTATTTCCTGTAACTTGTTCATAATCGCATGAAACTTTTGTGAAGACGGCATAAGAATTACATTTACAAGAGATCTGAACTTGAGATAGAGAATGAATATATGCAAACAAACCAGATATTGCGCTTCAGGTTTTTTGACAAGACCAGTAGAAACTTCTTCCAAACACACGCATAATGCGCCCTTTTCGTGCATCAGAAAGTTGTCCGTCTCAGCTAGCAAGACACCAGTATTTTCTTCTTGACTTAACACGCTTTGCATAGCACTACCAGTCTCGGGTACACAATACACCCTAATTGAAGTATCATTGGAAATTCGGTGCAAGGGACCGAACGCCGCTATGTGCATTCGTTTCATAGTTGTTTGACTTGCTCGTCGTGGCTTTCCCACTAACAACAATTTACAGAATCGTTCTATCATCACATGACACCTATAAAAATATTCCTAATGTGTCTTTTTTCACTGATATTTTCAGTGATTCACATTTATCTTTAAGCCATTTGCATTGCATATTACTGATAATACAAAATATCATACCGCATCAAATCCATTTGACAGTAAAGTGGTGTGTTAATATCTTCTTCACCAATTTGTGTGATCATTTCCCACGTACTGCTCTGGTTACCTTTTGCATAAATCATAAAGATCCAATTATCTTTCGGGAAAATATTAGCACAATGTTTAAATGTGATGATAAATGGCCTGTGGAAGACAACATCATCTTCATTTTCATCACAGAGACCGATCATCACCACGGCACTTAGCACTGTATTACCTTCTAGAATTGATTTTTAAAAATTTTTTGAAGCAATAAGCTTTGATGCTGCATCAATCTTAATTTAATTTTAAATTCTAAAGCAAAAATTTACCAGGTAATTTAGGTGAATCGCTGAGATCATCACAAACAGCAAGAAATACCATATGGTTGGTATGAAATGCACCCTCAGGTATAAGTAAGGATACAGCACTGTGCTTAAGCTAAAAAAATGGCCTCTTGCCACTTAACAATTCATTATCAAACCGTTTTTGAATGCTCATCAATTACATATAAAATTACGAAAGTTCTGTATATAACTGATTTTTCTGCTTGTTTGAGAGCTTTTAAAGTTATGAGATTTATTCCTTTCCGATGAAGAACTTTATGAATATAATAACATCAAACACTTGGAAAAATTTATCGTCCTACTACAGTAAACCGAAACTTGAGCTGCTCAAAATTTCCAAATCAAGCAAGTTACCACTAATCGTCCTCCCATGGTATCAACATATGCAGGCAATATTAAATGAGGCTGCTTGCTGAATTCGAAGGACCCGTACTGCTCATTTGCATCTCCCACACAATCATATAATGTTGCATAATTTTCGTCAGAAGTTCGTGAGTTAGTTCGCGCAATCGTAATTTTACCATGCGATGAATTCGACGACGATTCAGTGATCAAGGCAACTCGTGATCCTTAAAATTAATTATGTAAAGTAACAAAATCTTTAAAATTTGAGAACTGGTTGTTAAATTCAAGTTTAGCAAATTGAAAAAACATTTATTACAGCTTATAAAAAATAAGAAACCTGTAATTTTTCTTGTTGATGAATATCCACTACTGTTTGCTGATCCAAGTGTTAACGATGGTGGTCTAATAAAATGATGAGCTGGTGAAGCTGTGGTTGTCAATGTATAGAATTCACTGCTGCCTTTTGGGGTCGATTTTGAATAATCACCTCGATCTCCAAGCAGCCGTTGCCGCTGTTGTAATAATGCAGTACGTACATGCCCTAAAACAATAGCTAATAACTTAATTAGTTGGCTCTTTTAGAGCTTTAATCTTCAAATTTCTAAGACTTATAAAAGACTGAAAATAAAAACTTATAAACAAAAAACTAACCACTATTTTCAGCGAAATAAATATCTTCTTTCCGTACTTCCTGATATCGCCGTCGACAGCGGTAAAGCAATAAAATTATTAAAGTCAATACAATAAGAAGAAGGATGAGCACACTAAATAAACCAGCATACATTGTAAGCTGTGTTTCTAAGTTGTATCCAATATAGGTAGGTGCTGTCCGTTTTTCTGTAGCTGTACAATAACCTTCACCTTGAGTACAATTCCTAGTATCCAGATCACGGCCACCACATAACTGCCCACCATTAGTTGGACGCGGAGAATTACATGAACGAGTTCGAAATTTGTGACAGTTTTCATTGCACTGCGACCATAACGACCAATTTGACCTGTAATATCTATATTGGATACAGACTATTAGTCAGTAACTATCGCGTTAGCATTTAATTCTAAAAATTATTTCACTGAATTATTAATGTAATTTATTTCAGTATAAAAACCATAAAGTAAAGCATTTCATAAAAATTATATTCGTTTTTAACAAAATAAAATGTTCTGAAAAAACTAAGGAGTTCTTGACCAAAGTTTTAACAAAAATAATGATAAACTGACCAATGACCATCCAAACGACAATCTATCGGACAGTCACTAGTTTCTTCAGGATGACCCAAGCAATCAGCACCTCCGTTAATTGGTGCAGGATTATTACAAGTCCTTCTTCTTATTAATTTTGGCCAAATGTCGTCCAATTTGGCATGTACTGCATTAGAACGTCGCCTACTTATTTCTTGTTTCAGCTGACCACAATTTACTTTACAATTACCGATCCACGTCGACCATTCAGCCCATTCACCATCTACTGCAAAGATTTTATTTTAAATTGCAAAAATAATTATTTATTACGAGAATGTATATTTATAAGCAGGCAAGTTCCAGAACATATATTATGTTGCTGATTTGCTAATCCATGATTTTTTCATTAATTAAAGCGCACTGAAAATTAGGCGTAAAACTGACCTAACTAATTAATTGCTAACTGACTTTGAAACACATTAAACAATAGTAAGCAAATCATGCACTGCTTTTACTACATGATTTTATTTTATTTGTTGAAATATGTAGAATCTATGTTGAAAGCTTAATTTACTTTGAAAAGCAGTGAAGTCTTCTGTAAACTTGTAAAATATATTTTAACTTACAAGCATCACTAAATTTATTTTTCGACATTACAGGAAAAATTTTGCAGTTGAAGTTGAAATCTAAAAATTATAGTATCCATACCTCATGCGATACATAAACAAATACTAGATTTTCATTAACCAGGATCTAAGATTATTATTAGAGTACTAAAACAACGTTGGATTTACACTAACACGATCAAGAGTTTAATATTTTTCAGTATGTCATTCGACAATTGACTTAAGCTGAAATGTAGCTTAAAAAAATGAAACATTACTATCATGTTTAAATTACATAAATAAAAAACTTTTAGATTAAATGGTTTAATTCTTTAATGGATGGCTTTCAACATGGGGTTTCATTGGGTATTGAGCAACATTTAATACTAATATTTAGCTAAAGCATGCTTAATTAATCTTTAATAAGCTAAAATTTATCACTTGTAAAATATTTGGCAAAAATGAGCTCCAATTTCTCTATTATTATTTATCGAAAAATGTCTCATTTGATAAAGAAATCAGCTAGTGAACTGTCTTCGACTAAACTTACTTTCTTAAACGCAATATTATTCCTTGCTATATTCCTCAGTGCAATTTAATAATATGTATGAGGGAAAAATGCTTACTTACCAATTTTGAATAATCATCTCCATTATATTTTTAAGCACAAAAAAGAGGTGTGTCCTTCTTACCGTATACAACAATTTGTGCAGGATCAGAAAATCGTTTGTTGGCAATGTTTCGGGCTTCGCAAGTGTAATTACCAGAATCAGATAAACGTGCTGAAGAAATGATCAAGGAACCATCATTGGCTATGATCATATTGGGATCAGATTGTCTCTCTATCTCTTTTCTATCTTTGATCCAGAATACCTATATGAAACTTAATATTTCAAAAAATATTCCGCTACATATATATAAAACTGGAACAACCTTGACCAAATTTTCACTAAAATCATTAAGGGTTTGAATACTGCAACATAATATAAAGTATTAAAAACAGGAAAACACGAAGTGAATACCGATTATTTTTTTATGCACATAAAAGTAATCTTTTTTTTTACAGCTATGCTCTGGAATTTTATGACAAAATTTATAAATTCTTACTTAAAAACTTTCTATCGATAAATCTTCTTTTAGAATATAGCATAAATTCTAGAATACTGGTTTTAAAGTTTTTTCAACGGGATTTCAAACAAAAAGTTGTGACTGGATGTTATGTAATTACTATTAAAAAAATATTTTGCTGCAGTTGTGAATAAAATTTTATCACTAAAACAATGCAATAGGTAAATAATGTGGACGTTATTTAATTGAATGAATCCTCATAATTTACGAGCAGATGAAGCATTTCAATCCAGCAATATGATTCTATTTTTTTAAATGGTGATATATTAATGATATTTGAAATCTGATAACAATTGTTTGTAGAATGGTGCGAGAAAAATAAACTTGTCTACTTTATGTTATTTGAAAAAAAGCAATTCAATTGTCGCTAGTAAACAAAATATGTACAGTTCAATACATGAAAGAACTGCTGCCCCAACGTCATAACAAGGCGTATATCGCAACTTTTTTGTTCCACAAGAATAATTAGATAAATGTAAATGTAATCGTACCTCAACTTTAGGGTCACCTTCTGGTGGTGAACAATGCATGTGTACAGTGCCTCCTTCAGGTACATTTTCTGATACAGGAGCTTGATAAAAATGTTTTCGGATGTCTGCAAAATTCATTTTATATTACCATGAAAAGCAGTTTGAATTTTTGAAGTCTAGGTCTAACAATTCTTCAAGATCAATCATCATTTATTCACCATTCATTATTACTTAATAATAATGCTTGCATTTTGGCGTAAAATAGTTTTTTAAAGTACAAATACAGAAAAATATAATGCTAAATTTAGGATAGTAATTTCAAGAAATATTATTCATAATGCATGATTGGTTTTTCTCAAATTCTCTAGTACACAAATGGTTTACAATGCATTAACCATAATTTAAGCATTTTTTTATAATCACAATATTTGAAATGATTGTGTCAAGTTTTTTAACTCAAAGATAATGCTGTCTACTTTGAAATACTTTTAAAGCTTTCACTTAGCCAGCAACAGGTACGGGAAAATAATAAATTAAAGTGAGATTTGGTAAAAGAATTTTGGGCGTCACCTGTTTTGATTCACAAACTATAAATAGTTTAATTTATAACTTTCTCTTCTTTTATTTATTTTAACAATGTTCAAACTGTTAAATCAAAACAGAAATAATGAAGATTTACGAAACAAGAATTCAGGAGAACAAGTAACGAAAGTAAGGTGGAATAGAGAGATGAAATAGCAATGATCCTGCAAACGATTAATTCTAATTATGAGATTTATGCAATCACTTTATAAGTAATACCGTTATATTGTCTACTTTTTAATAATCTTTTTTCTGTGATTCATTAACTTGTCATTGTTTCAATTCTTGAAAGTAATTCGTATATTATTCAGAAATTACGAATCAGAAAATTATATTCAAGTCTATAAATTATCTCAAAATATTCTACTAACAACTAACGAAACATAAACAATTTATCAGAATCAGTTTGCTAAATGCATATTAGATTTGCATTACATACATGCCTAACATTAGGTAAAAGATTTTATGGTAAGTAATGGTAGTTATTAGCTTCTACTCTTTAGTTGAGTGACTCATTGGAGGTTGGACAAAAAGCCAAAAGTGAGTTTAGATTTATGAGCTGAGAGGAAAATGCTTAAACTGACGAGGCTGATTGACCACTTGTCCATGTTATACGGTAGGTTTTAAGACTGAGACTTTAATTTGCTACCCAAAGCTAGTAGAAATCAGCCCACAATTCAAATTACCATGGAAGAATTTTAAAAATTGCCTCAATTAGTCAGAGTGATTAACATCTCTGTTTAAACGATAGAATTATTTTTTTTTTGCTAGTCAGGCGACTTGGAAAAAATTATTTGAAAAATTGTTAAAAAATGCATGTTCCGAATTATTTTTCTGCATGTGTCTCACCGAAATTGTTCCATTTACGATTATGATCTACCACATTACTTTTAATTGTTCCTATGTAGATAATCCTCTAAAGATTTTGATGACTGCAATTCAATCACTTTCCATTAGATGAATAATCTATTTTTATTTTTTAAAATGCCGAAAGCAGACTACCTTTTTGATTTTCAAACAAGCAAACTGTATTCAATGGACCGCAAACAGTCGTTTTGGTAAATAAGTAGGGTCATAAGTTACACAAAACGGTACGTTCACGTCACTGCTTCCTTTTATCTGCTTATTAAATAGTTAGTCAGCTGTTGAAGAAAATTACCACTTGAGAAAATGAAGCTTCCTCCAATAATCGCTTATTTTTAGTTAAAAAATTTCCTGACAGCTGTCAAACTATTTTCGAAACTATATTCTAACTTTGATCACTGAACATCACTTTACTCCTACATATGGTTGATATTTGCAGGAATAGTGCCAATATGATGGATTTATCCTTCTAATTTTAAATTTGCATTTTGAAGAAAAATGAAATATTACTAAAGTCTAATACTACATTATCTGACAAAAAATTGTTGCCATTTGGTGAATTTCAAAAACTGATAGAAAATGATGAAAAATGGAAATTCAAAATCTAAAATGAAAAATTTTAGAAATGAAAGAATAATATATTATTTCAGACAACTTGCTATCCATCAAACGAGAAAAAACTTAAGCACTGAAATTATAACGAACTGGTTGTAGAAACTCAGAAAAATCGTTGAGACTCATGCAGTTATTAATTAATGCAAATGAAATATAACCTACTTTTGTACATTTACGTGTATTTTTATGTGTACATTGCACATGAAATGTGCACTACATACTTGTGTATTTGTGGAAGAGAAATATAATGAATGATCGAAAAGAGCAATTTCAATGGGCTAGTGCTGTCATTTTATAATATACACAAATAACTCTTCAAATGTAGCAATGAGAAAACTTTCTCTTTTGAAGAAACCCTGCTGGAAACTATGAAACACCAATGGTGAAATTACAACTGAAAGAGAATCAAGAATGGAATAGAAGGATGAGAGATATAGAGGAAGTGGACAGTGGTCAGGTCAGTGAATGTCACAATTTGAAATTTGCTAGTCTCACGAGACATCAATTGGCTTCAATCCCCTGCTGCCCAACAAACTCTTAATCATTTAGCATCAGATGATTTAAATGCGATTTTTATTTCTTAAACTTTTCTCCTCTTGACCTCTACTAAAAACGCTCAAAGTAGAATAAAGTTACTTGTTTCAGTTTTGATAATTAATTAGGTCAAATAGATAATCAAACAGTTGTTTAATCTTCCATGTATATCAGAAAAGCACAGATGATAATGACCCGATTAGCATCCTGAATTGTGTCAAGTATACTTCACCGCATCCACTTCAAAACGTCCCTTTAAATAACGTTTAATTGCACTGTCAATTACCACGTCTTTGGGCAACACATTTGTCATTAGTTATAAGTTACTTGCAAGATTTGTGCAAACTTTGCTTATCTGACTTCAGATGACATCCTTCATTATTTCGAAATAAACCCTTCTTGCACTTTGACTGAGTGTTATCATTTATTTACATCTAATTCCACAGCAAATAATTCCTAAAATTAACTAATAAAATACTCACTCACTGCCTATGACCTTCCCTTACGGCAATTATCACATCAGGTATTAAATGACATGAAAGCACTTTTTATGCACTTATGAATGGGTTTCTTCTTATCTTTCACTATTTTTTCGTACGTCGCAGAAATTTACAATAATTAGCTAATCTTTCCATCCAAAAAATGTATGAGTGATTATGACAATATTCTTTTCTCAAAAAGTCTGACAAAATAACCTTTCCCATTTCTTTACTTAAAAGCCAGAATCTGAAGCAACAATTTTTGTGCCAAAAATATTGAAGTTTTTTTGAAATGATTCATAAATTCAGCACATACGCATCACTTTTAGGTACACCGAAACTTCTCAATTTTTACTCTATTTCACATTTTTTGTCGTGAAAGTGAAAGTAGTTAATTTTGATAGACAAAACGGGAGCACAATGTTTAATGAATTGACACTACGAGGGAATATAGGAATCCAGCTGCTTTCTGACTGTCAAACTCATAAACAACTTTCAAAGTAAATGAATTATACAAATTTATTTATGAACAGCTGTAGAAGTGTAATAAAATCCCCCGAGCTGATGTATCCTATATATAAATCTATAAATCTTTTTTATATATAGGATACATCAGCTACTTGTAATGCATGCATTCATAAATAAGTTTTTGTGACCGTATTTACTATAAACCACATGTTTATCCCATTGTGAGAAGCAAAATGAATAGCTTTTAGATCAGTAACGATCAAATGAAATAAAGATTAACTTACATGCAAGACGTACACGTGCAGATTCTGATCGAACAACTTGTACGTCAGAGTCGGCGGAAGCATAACACTGGCATGTGAATTCACCTGGATGGACATTTAATTCTTGACGGTCTATTTCAACACTGGCTATGTAAAATGGTAAATGTGTGGCTGCATCAGTTCCTTGGGTCACATTATGACGTGAATCATCTAGCTGAATATATTTGCAAACATACTTTTAACTTAATTTAATTCAAATGCAGTAAAAAATATTTAAAATGTATATGAATTACGATATTGCAGATACACTGCATTGAAGGTTTTCTATGTAACCTAGAAATGCACTAAATCATTAGCATTTCAACTCTCTTAGAAAAATATAAATCAATTACTATTAGTTTGGCGAAAATACTGAAATAAATAAGCAAACAATAGTTGTAAATTCAATTTCATGAAATTAAAATGTAACATAAAATACTGATAGAATTTTCTTCATTTTTTTGAAATTTCATCTATATATAATTTCTTGAACAATTAAAAAACATACCCATCGTCCATTACATTTGAACCGTATTCGTTTGGCATTGAGAGCTCTACATGTCAATGTAGCGTTACGTGACCTAGTAATATATGTGGATTGTGGTGATTCGATCAGAGCAATTTCATCCATTACTGCAAATAACGGAATTTTAAAAGAAACAATCCAGATTAAAATCCATCAAACACTTTTTATATCTATGTTCTCACAAAATTTACCACAAACAAATGACATCATTTGAGAAGACTGAACGAGAAATAAGAATTACAGACTTCAATTGTCAAATGTAATAAATTTTACTGTTTTGATATTCAGTTGTTCATGTGAAAGTGTAAACAGTCTAAAAAAATGCTGAACGTAGTTGTAAAGAAATAACATGATACTAAAGAGCAAATGTAATATGCAATAATAAAAACAAACTCTATAGTAATAAAAGCAACAGTAAGAGAAATTAGAGGTAAAGGGGCAAGCAAAAGTCAGGAAATCTGAGAAGAAAGAAAACAGAAAGATCTGGCAGAAAGTGTGAAAAGCTGCTACTACAGCGATCTCTAACCTTTCAACTTTTTTCTTTTCATTTTCAATAACATTAAAGGTGAAAAAACAATATTTTTTTCCAAGTAAACTAAATAATTGAGTCTGATAGACGGGTCGAATGGATGATAGCAACATACGGACGGACACTGGTAACACAGAGACGATCTGCTGTGAGAAAGATCTGAAAAAATGTCGACGAACACAACTTTTGTTGATTTCTGACAGAAATGACCATATCAGAAGAGGACCAAGCAATGACAGCATTAATAACAACAACAGCGATAATAATGCCGTAAAATAAAAAATGATAAAATATTTCTCGCAAAAATAATCATACTTCGAAGTTAATACTCACGAAGTGGATAAGAACAGCTGCTTAAAAACTTGTGTGCACATTTTGAGGCAGCATTACACAAATGAGGAGATAGTAATAGGCAAATAAATAGCAAGATTTATGTAAAAAATCCATGATATTATATTTTGTCAGCATCATTATTATTGACAAAAGGGAACAGTAATTACCGACATTGTTGCTTTCAGCTTCAGTTCTATTATGGTCAGCTTATTATGTTCTTGCCTCTGTATATAT